AGTAAATAAAAATAACTTTTACAGCCCAGCCCTGTGACTCAGTAAGTGGCAATTGAAAATATTTGACATCACTTTATTTAAAACAAAATTGACGAATATTATGTTTTTGATTCCCTGTTTGCTCCAAATGGGCTTTAAATCTAAATAAATGGTTGTCTGTGGTTATAATTCAGGTCCAGAAGGAGAAATAAGTCTGGTCTGCAGTCTCAAAATCATCTCCATTTCAGTTGTAAACTGTTGTGGCTGGGTGGCTTGGACATCTCCTATGGGATGGGGGTTTGGAATAGCTACAGCCTACATCCATTTCCTCATTCCCAGGTGGTTAGTGGAGGATGCTCTGCTCAGGCCCAGTTCTCTCCTTTCTGCCCTCTCCATCCCTGTTTCAGTGGTGTCACATTCTCTCCTTAAAATCTGATTCTTAACAGGAATAACTTCACTCAGCACTTTTTCCTGGGCTTGGTCCCCTTTTCCCAGCAGTCTTTTGGCTGTTGTGTCACAGCAGCTCTTGCCTCTCTTTGCATCACCAGCATAGAGCTAACACCTAATAAAATTATCTGCAAAGCAAAAAGCCATTTTCTGTGTTAGTTACGGGTAAATTGGTGAAGTAAAATACTCCGTAAATGTGAGTCATTTCTGCAAGGTCATGCCTTAACCTTGTCCCGTGGGAGGGGTGTGCAGGGACCACTGCTCTGGGTTTCCCTGGGAAGCAGCTGAGCCTTGGTGTCCTCTGCTCACTTTTTTGTGCCCTTATTGCCCATCCTGATCTCAGGAAGAGCTGAAGCTCCAGGGGTTTGTGTTTGTGATGAGGAGAAGGTGAGATCTTCATCTGTACCCTGAGCATCCCTGGAGTTTGGGCACCTCCCTGTTGTCCTAGGAGAGCCTCTTGCATGAGGAACCTGAATATTAAATTAAACCCATCCCTCTTGCCTCCCCTTTACCACATTTGACATTGTTGGAAGAAAAGCATCAGCCTGGTAATGTTTTCTGTGTAGACACTCCTCACTCAACCCTGTCCATGCAGAACAATTGCACCCCCTTGGCCCTTGCTGCCCATTTTTTATAATTGTGGGATATCCTGAGCTGGGAGGGACCCAGAGGATCATCCAGTTCCACTCCTGTCCCTGCCCAGACCCCCAACAACCCCACCCTGTCCATCCCTGGTGTCCAAAGGCTCCTGGAGCTCTGGCAGCCTCGGGGCTGTGCCCATTCCCTGGGCAGCCTGGGCAGTGCCAGCACCTCTGGAGAAGAACCTTTCCTGATCTCCACCTAAATTTCCCGACACTGCTCCATTCCCTGGCTTGCCCTCCCTCCTTGTACCCCTGACGAGAGGACCAGACAACCCTTCTGCTCATTTTTGGAGCTGCTTTATCGAGTGGGGAGCTGAGGAGCAGTTGTGAAACTTGACAGAGAGGTTATGCTCTGAAATAAATCGCAGTTGCCTGCGAGTTGGAAATGACTCCCGGTGCAGGTTAATAAATAATGCAAACCCTGTTAATAGATGCCAAATGTGCCGTCTCCGCCAGAGAAAAAGATGATGCCAATAATCTGGGCTGGAAATACTCAGTTGTAGCCACTGGCTGGAGAGTTTTCAGTGTTTAGTGCTGTTAATTTCGAATGCTTTGCTGATAGATTGTAACCGCTCTGTACTTAGTAAAGAGCACAAACAGCTCGGTGGAGTAACAGCCTGTTTATAACGCGCCTCATTGCCGTGTCCCTTCGGCGACTCCTGCATCCCTGCAGCCGCCCGTGCTGTGATCCTGCTAATGGGGAAGGAGCTGCAAATGCCAGAGGTGCTGCCTGCCGCACGGGGAGGATGCTGGAGTGACACATCCCGCTCTGTCCTGAGGGTCACACTGAGGTTATCGTGATGTAGCTCTTTGCTGGGAGATGGAGCTTCGTTACAGCACCGTGCCAGCCACCCCAGTGGGGCAAGCACATTTCTCTCCCTCTCAGGATTTTTCATAGAGGTGCACAGAGAGAAATGAAAGAGAAAACAATTTCTATTTCTGCTTCTTGTTTTCCTACGTGGAATGTGTTTGGAGAATTGTTTACCTGGGGTGAGTGCTTGGTTGGATTCTGGTGAGGATTGTTTGAGTCTGATGGCCAATCCAACCCACCTGGGGCTGAGCTCTCAGAGAGGGTCACGAGCTGTGTTGGAGTTAGAGAAAGTAGTATGTAGTTTTAGTATCCTCCTTTTATATAGTATAGTAATGTATTTTAGCATAGTTATAATAAAAAACTAATTCAACCTTCTGAATTTAATCAGACATCATCATTTCTTCCCATTGGGTTCGCCTGCATTTACAATACCCCAGCATATGGCTGAGAAGGTTTTTTTCTGCTCTGAGCTCCTTAGTTTTGTTTTCAGGAGCTCGGAATGGCTTGTAAAACCATCTTTGTGCTTCAGGTGTCACTTGAGTGCCTAGCAGAGAACGGCGTGACGGACACGGTATGGATGGGAATGGCCAGCCTCTCCTGGCTGTCCCCCAGGCTCTCTGGACAGCAACTCTGTCCATCCCCTCATACCTTGGAGGGGCTTTTTATTTAGTAGTTTACAACCACAGAATGTGGCAGTTAATGATACAAAGCCTGTAAAGTATGGGTGAGGAGGGCTGAGGTCCTGGATGTCTGTAAAGCAGTTGGAGTTCAGCTGTCAAAAGATGCCACTTGAATGCAGATCGTTATTTTAAGTACCGAGGTGTGGAGGGAAATCATGTCTGTTGGAATAAAGGTGGCTGCTGAGCACTGATATATTTAATGAAGGTAATTCAGCACGGCTGGGGGGGATATGTGCTCTGTTATGGCTGGAGTCTTGAGCATTGTGCAAGAATGTTGAATGTCTATTCCTGCCACCACAGAAACGCGTGGTGACAAAGCGCTGGTGTGAAATGCAGCAGTAGCAGAAGCCTCACTTAAAATACAGTCCCTTAAAGAGCAGCTTGTAAAAAAAGGAGAGAGAGTTTTTAATGCAGGCACATAGTGATAGGGGAATGGGTAATGGTTTTAAACTAAAAGGGGAGAGATTTAGGTTAGGTGTCAGGAAGAAATCCAGCTGTGAGACCCTGGCAAGGGTTGCCCAGAGAAGGTGTGGCTGCCCCTGGATCCCTGGAAGTGTCCAAGACAAGGCTGGACAGGGTTTGGGGCAGCCTGGGATAGTGGAAGGTGCCCCTGCCCATGGCAGGGGGTGGCACTGGGTGATCTTTAAGGTCCCTTCCCACCCAAACCATTCCAAATTCCCATCACCAAGTTTAAACTGCACAAAGCTCCTGCTTTAGTCCGCAATGCTGCTCTTCAAAACAGACTGGTGGTTTGTGTTTTGAGAAGAAACCTTTGGGTCCTGTCAGCTCTTGGTCACAGTTTGGGTGTATGTGGTGGTTTGGTAAGGAAGCACAGCCAGTGGAAATTCCAGGTTTAACGCACTGATCCCATGGGATGTGGAGCTGTGTCCTGGTGCTGCTGTCAGCAGCAAGGCAAGAGCCTGTCCTGGGAAGGTTTGGTGCAGGCACTGCTGTGCTGAGACTGAAATACGGTCTTAGAGAAGGAAAAACAGCCCATAATGCTTTATACAAAGCAGTTTAGTGAATAAATAGTCTTCTGCTGGCAGCCTGCTTTTATGTGCCTGCAAAAATGGTACCAAATAGCTCTTTTAATGGGCCTCACTCTGTTTTGTCTGAGCCCTCGAATTAACCTCCCACTTAAAATCATAGTCAGGGAAAGATCTTCTGCAGTCTGTGTCAAGCTGGAGCCCATCCTGGGGGCTGGAGGATAGTGAAATGTGTGAATTTAGGGGGGTTATAATTACAGCACTGCCAAACTTGCTGCTCCTGGCGTTTTGACCCCGAGGTGTTGACAGCGCCCGATCCGAATCGCGGCGAGCAGGCCGGGGGTGGTGTTTTTGGGAGGGTGGCAGTGGCTTTGTCCTATTCTGGGACTGGCAGTGTCTGTGCTCCCGGGGGAGAGCAGTGAGGGAGACATCACGGAACGGCAGAGCTTGGCTGAGCTGGGCCTGGCTGTGCCCACAAGGCGGCAGTGGGTGACAGCGGGAGCGGCCCCGCCGTTAATAGTGATGTGTCCAGGTGGCACCGGGATTGAGTTGTAGTGACAAGAGAGTGCTCGGGATCTGTTTGCCCAAGGGCTTTGGAGTAATGGCCATATGTCTCGGTCCAGCAATTGTTTTCAGCGTGCAGATGGAAGACCAAAGTGGCTTTGGCATATTAGATTCACGTGGTTTATGTCCCTCTTCACCTCTCTGCCTCCCAACACCTCTCGGTTTTACGAGCAAACTTCAGTGGATGCAGCTGCAGGATTGCTCCAAGGACATGGTCCTTGAGCAACCAATTTTCTCTGCTCTTTGGCTGCTTCTGTCACCAACATTTTCAGCAGAAAATGCAGTTTAACTCTATCAAAATGTGCTCCCAGAGAACCGCTGACTTCAGTGGTAATTATGGGGATTTTGGAGCTCTTTTTTCCATTTTATCCGTGCAGGGTCGGTGGCTCTGGATGCACTCACTCTGTGCAGGGATTGTGTCACTGCTGATTTTGTGGCTCCTCTCTCTGAACCCCTGGTGCTTGTGCAGGGCTTCCTGGGCCTGTAGGGAGACACATTAAAGCCACCAAGGGGCAGTTCAAAGGGATTTTTATTCCCTTCTGGCAACAGGCAGGAACCTAAACATGTCAGGAGCCTAAACCTGAGCTCAACAAGAGCCTAAATGAACCCTTAGTTTCCCAGGGTAAGAAACGGGGGCTTTACGATGTCATTTTTTGGAAAAGGGGGAAATCACATTTCAGTTTCCTACTGAGGGAGGAGCTGGTGTTCTGCAGATGAGATCAGATGGAAGGAGATAATGTGTGCCTTGTTAGGGTGTTTTCATGTCTGTACCAGATGCATTTGCAGGGGGTTTCAAGTTGACCTTGAGAGGTGAAAACAGTGCATTTGGTTGAACAGAGTGAATTTCTGAAATCCATCTTTATAACTCTGCTTCCTGTTTGCTCTCTGGCAGGTGAAGTGGAAAGGGAAGGACCTGTTTGATCTGGTGTGCAGGACACTGGGACTGCGGGAAACCTGGTTCTTTGGGCTGCAGTACACGATCAAGGACACGGTGGCTTGGCTCAAAATGGACAAGAAGGTTAGAACCAAAGTTCACAAAATCCCAGAATGGTTTGGGTTGGAAGGGACCCTGAAGCTTATTTTGTTCCAAGCCCTTGCCATGGACAGGGATATTTCCCTTGAGAGGTTGTGTGGGATGACAAAGGAGAATGTCCTTTTGTCTTTCTTTGAATGCCCAGGATTGTGTGGTGGGTGAACTGGGACAGATGCACTTAAATCCCACCTCTGTGGTATCTGGGGGTGTCAGACTGGGAAAAGCTGGCAGAGATGCCCCATCCCAGCATCTGTGCACACTGAATCCCCTGGAGACATTTTGGAACACAGCCATTCTGGGATGCTGCACTTTGGGGTGACTGCAAAGCAAATGAAAGCTAAAACTCTTCTCTTTTGTGCCCCTCAACATCAGCAGAAAATTGGAGTTGCCTCTTGTTTTGTTGTTGAGAAAAACCAGGAGCTTGGGAGGAGGAAAGCCAGAGTGAAAAGGAGATGGGGCTAAGGGACGAAATGCTTCCCAAATCTCTGAGGGGAGAGTTTTGGAGGTTTCAGATGTGGCTTGTTCACATCCACAGGATACTGAGGGAAGTCATGGACACCGAGGGAGGCCTGGGTGTCTCACCTCTCAGGCTGAGGTTTTAAGCCAACATTTAACTCATTTAACTGGGCAGTACCAGAGCAAGGTGGTAAGAAACAGCACTGAAATAAACTCGGTGCAGGAAAACAAGGAGAGAGTCGGGTGGTGGCGCAGCAGGATCCAGCATCTCTCCACAAGTATCAGGAGAGGCAACGAGCACGTGGCAGATCAGGATCAACCTTCACTGTCTCATTTCTCATGCTGTTTGTTTCTGCCTTTTTTTGTTCCCTTGCATCATTAGGAGTGTCAGAAATATTTGTTTTCTTTTTTTAACTACAGTGTTTGAACTATTTAGGTCTGTTCTAGATGTCTAAAAGTGTCTGACAGAATATGTTCTCATCTGAACAGAAGGGAGCTGGGTCTTGCCTTGAAGAAACCAAATGGCTTTTGTATCCCACAGGTCCTGGATCATGATGTTCCCACAGAGGAACCCAAAACTTTTCACTTCCTGGCCAAATTTTATCCTGAGAATGCAGAGGAGGAATTGGTCCAGGAAATCACCCAGCACCTGTTCTTCCTGCAGGTGGGAGTTAATACACTGCTAATTAACCTGAGGGAGAGGGAGCCAGGATGAGCAAAAGGTCCCAGGGTCAGAGAGTTGGTCAGCAGAGTGTTCTCCACATCCTTATGTTCACAGCTTTCTACAGGGACTTGTCTTTAGCAACAAAAACTTCCAAAAATAGGTGAAGGATGTTTTTTGTGGAGGAAGCAGCTTGCCCAGACTGGCAGACCTCTGAAATGGCAGACAAGCATGATGAGGTGATCCATTATATCCATGGGTGGTGGCTCAGGGATGTGGATCTGTCAGCCAAGGGCTCGTGTCCCTCTGCAGGGTGTGGGATGAGCTGTGCTGAGGGGTGGCAGCTGCCTTTGGACGTGAGGGCATTGTTGTGTGGAGCAGAGGAGTTTGAGCAGAGTGCAGCCAGCCTCTTCCTAGGCTGCACAGCAAAATTCCCCTCCTCACTAAACAGCCTTCAGGTACCTAGAGCAGAAGAATATCCCAGCAGCTCAGCTCTCTGGTGGAAAAACAGAGAAGGGAAAACCTCACCTGCCCCAGGAACTCCTGCCCTGCAGTTAAGCATTTGGAAACTGTGGTGAACACATCTTGGTTGGGTTTTTTTATTTAAATTATTCTACAAAACTTTGTGTCCTGAGAAATCAGTTCAGCTGATGATGTGGCAATGCTGCATGGCTGGTTACAAGGAGCTGCTATCACAGGAGCTCTCTTTCAGAGACATGATCAATTTTCTGCCACAAAATCCATTTTCTGACACATTTTTCCTCAGAAGAGTTCTGTCAAGCACAGTTACAGGGAACAGAGCCCTCCTAGGCAGACTCCAGGGTATTCACTGGGATGTTTCAGCTGCTCTCTGGTTGTTAATTTGAAGATAAATTACAAAAATTTTTTAAAACTCACTCATTCTTAGGTTTTTTACACCAAAGTCAGGACAACCTGGATTTGGGAATACCTCTGTAGCCTGCAGGGTGTCCTGCACTTTCCAAGTGAGCTCACCAGCCTCTTGACACTCTTCATTCTTCCAAAGTCCATCTTTTTTCTCCAGAGCCAAAAGTGTTCTAAATGCAAAGTATTCCTGTTAATTTCCAAGCTCTGTCTCGTGCACTGGTGTCTCTGTAGGGTTATTTCTGAATGCCTCATTTGCCAGGAGCTTTATCCATGGTGAGGAAAAATGCTGTTGGCATCTTTGAGAAGGAAAATCAGAGAGGAAAAGCCATTCAAGCTGCGTTTTCTAAATGCAGACCATGACTTTGCTGCTGGGATTTCTGTACTGAGAGGAACCTGGGCTCCTGAATGCATTTGGGAAACAGGAGCACATCTAAGCTTGTAAACTCTCCTGTTTTTTATCTTGATGCAGCAGAATATCTGCTGTGATTATGTTGTACCCAACTTTGAGGACTCAAAGCACGTTGTAAATTCAAATTGATGTTCCTGCATCTCCAACAATCCATTTAAGCCTCCTAGGAAATCGTAGGCTTTTAAGATTTTTTTTCCCCCCTATCTTTAATCAGGAAAATTAAGTGTGCTAACCCAAAAAATATCGAACATGACAGGTTTAATTTTTGAATGCACAGAAGGCAGGGAAGTAAAGCTGTGGCCTGGGGGAGCTGCACGTTGCCTCTCCCGGGAGCGCACACGGGGCTCTGCCTGCTGCTGAAAGCTCTGCCACAGAGGTGACCTGCAGCTCTCTGTGCTGAGATCCAAGGAATTGGCCTCCAGCACAGGTGAGCACTGACTCACAATGGGGCCTGAATGTCCCAGAGCAAAGCTTGCAGTGCTCAGAGACTCGGCTGCAAGCTGCTCTTTTATTTAGCAGCGTGGCTGAATGTCCTATCAATCCGTAGCTCGTGCCTGAAGAGGTTTTATCGCTGTGTTTACATGCAAGGTTTCCCCCCCCACCCCTTGCCTTCAGCAACAGGATAAATGTGCTGTCATTTTCCACATATAAATTTAGCTCTTCTCACCAACCTGTCTGAGAAAGGTGGTCTGTGAAAGCCTGAGCCCTTCCGAGCCGCCAGAGATTTCCTGGGTCTGGACTGTGATTAGTGTTAGGAAAATTGTTAACTCTGTGTGGTTGACAGCTCAAGTTAAAACAAACTGCAGCCATCTGCTGTGACAGTCATGCTCTGCTGTGCTCCACTAAACGTGTGTTATCTGTCCTGTGCTGCTCTGTGTGCAGGTGAAGAAGCAGATTTTGGATGAGAAGATCTTCTGTCCTCCTGAAGCCTCTGTCCTGCTGGCCTCTTATGCTGTGCAAGCCAAGGTAGGCAGCAAAGGGATGCTCCAAGGGCCTGCTGGGCTAATGTTGATCCAGGTGCTTTGTGCTGGAGCCACTTCCTAGGGAAAGGGAAAGCAGGGAAAGCTGTGAAAGCTTGGGAAGTGAGGGGGCTACACCAGCACTGCTGCCTTCTCCACGTGGCTGGTTCCTGGCTTCCTCCAGACATTGGATGGGTTTTTGCTTTCTCTTTCCAGGACTCTTTAGCAAATGCTCACCTGCAGAGCCTGCTTGAGTGTAGCTTACTGCTGGAGCAGGTGAATTCCCCAAGCCTGAGGTTTTTTGGATCTCCTCCCTGCTTTTGCCAGTGTAGCCAGAGGCAAGCCAGCCATGGGACTCCCAGCTCCACTGCTCCCCCAGAATACTTACCTTGACAATGACTTTATTTCAGTGCTAGAACTGCCACATCCCTTTTATTGCACCGTGAAAGGGCTTTTCTTGGGTGTTTGGCCTCACCAGACAGAGGGAAAAGTCAGTGCTCATTGAGTTCCCCTTGTTTCTCTGCTGCATTCTACTCTAGCCCAGAGTGGGTGTGTTTTGCTGAGGATTTATTCCAGAGGACACAGTTTTCCAGTTTGGGGTGTGCAGCCTCGGACAGCTTGCCCAGGGCAGACTCCTGGGGTGGAGGGAGCACCCAGGGTTCAGTGGCAGGGACATTCTTGCAGTCAGGGACATAATTTCTCCCTGTGTATGCACAGCGTGTGCTGTTGCTCAGTTAACAGCTCCTGGAGCTCAGCTCCAGTTTGTGTGTGCAGTGATCCTGTTTTGGGAGGGAGAGGAGCAGCTGCAGTCTGAGCACAGCCCAGCCACGTTGTCTCTGCATCTCCTGTTGGTTCTGACTCTGGGTGGGATTTTGGGAGGGTTTGGCTCACAGGACCCAGGCAGGTGGCTGTGCCCTGGTTCTGGCAAGTCCAGCTGTCCTTGAGGAGCACGGCTGTGCAGAGGTTTAGGAGGAGCAGCTCTGTTGGGGCCATCATTACTGGCAGTGCAGGAGAGGGGGTTTGGCCCTGTTGCCACAAGAGAGGGCCTGATCCAGGTTGGTTTTTAACTTTGGCCATGTAATTTTCTCAAAAGCCTTCAGTCCACAGTCTGAGTAGAGCCCTGGGTGCCATGTTCTTTGATGGGGTTTGAATTTACAAGAAATTGGTGTTTTTTCTTCTCATAATCAGGCTATTGATGAAACCATGTTTTGTTCAAGCGACTCATCAGCTGGACAAAGAAAAGTTGCTTTTAGAAATGTTTCTGTTTGTGTGAAACATTCATCACTCTTATTAGAGTGCATGAGTAAACACGTCCTTGGCTTTCTTTCCATTGACCTGATCCGAGGGTACGTAGGGAATGACTTTTCTGGCTGCCAAAATGAATAAACGTTGGGTAAATATTGAGCTCTGTTACCTCATGGCCAGGACAGCTCCTTGGGTACAGGCTGTGACTTGGTGCAGGTCGGTTGTGCCCTCCCCTTTGTCCCCTTGGCACCTTGAATGTCCTGGCGTTGGGAGGGGCTCACATGGAGTCAGAGCAGTTCTGACCATGCTGAGATCAGGAGAAGGAGGAGCAGGGGTGACTTTCCTGCTTTTCACTACAGGGTTTTCTTCAGATGTCCCTTTCCTTGCTGCCCCTCCAGCCTGGGATTCCCCTTCTGCTTTCACTCCCAGCTCAGGTGAAAGCTGAAAGCACATCTTTGATAGGGAACTGGGAAGAAGGATGTTGCAGGTCATCTCCTTCTAGTTGAGTAGGATAATGATGTCCTTCCTGGACAAGAAAGCAGGCAGAGAGTGCAGTAATTTCACTAACAAGGTGCTGATTTGCATGATTAGGGGCATAATAGCCTGACACAGCAGTGTGTGTGCATCCAGCAGCCACTTATTGACAGCCAGGTACTGCTGATCCTTCCACACCAACCTGAGACAGCAAAGGAAATGGGGGTCGTAAAAATAACAGCTTATTTATTTCTCTCTCATTGTGTTCATTTAGGGAATTACTATGTGCTTTCCCCTCCAGCCCTGTTCAAACCACCCACGTGGCTTTCAGAGGTTGGAGGTGGCTCAGGTTTTAAATAGCAGGGAAAGACGTGGGATCAACTGAAAAAAAATGGGAACATCCAGGAGGTTCTTCTATTTTTTGCCCCTTAAATGCAGGTCGCTGCTGTGCTGCAACTCTCTTCAGCACTTCAGCTCTTGCAGCACAGCAAACAGCTCTTTAATTATTATTGTTTTACCCCAAACAAGCAATACTTGGTGTTAATTTGTAGCTGAGCCTGCCTGTGTTTATCCAACAATCTAAGCCAGGCGTATGAATGTGGTAAAGGCAATTCCATGTCCAATCACGAATATTAATCATACAGTTCAATTAACAAGAGCTGAAATTCCATGACAGTTTGAAAGTAATGATTTAATTGAAAAGGCCTTTAGAAAGTACATTTGCAAAATCATTTGAGCCAACAAATTCTGCAATACTTAAGCCATTTGTTGATTTTTGACTTGTGAATAATTAATGTTCTCATCCAGACTCCCCTCTCAGTACAAATATTCCTCTGGGACACGGCAGTATTTTTAAGCACATGAAAAGTCGCATAATCCATACTTAGTCTTGGACTTCCTCAGAAGATCACAACAGAAAATAATTGTGTTAATCCTATTTGCTATTATTTTCATCACCTAAAAATGATTTACTTGCTGCCTGTCCAAAGTTGTTGGAGTTGCTTCCTTCACCAGTGCCATGTTTTTAGTTCTGCTTCCTTTCAAGGGTGGCTCAGGGGTCATGTACCTGCAAAATGCTGCATCCTGAGGAGCTCCAAGACCTTGGAAGGCAGAGAGTTGCTGCCGCTCTTGGATGAAATCCGGGCTGGTTTTGTTCTATTAATTGAAGTCTGAGTCAGTGTTGGTTGTTGTTACATGCTCCCTTTGCATCTGCATTGGCTCCAAATCAATATTTGTGTCTTTAATCCCCACGTGTTGTCTCCCAAGTGCAGAGGTAGGATGTGTGTAGACTTTTGATGCTGAGCTCTGGTTTTGGTGCACGGTGTGAAGGTCCTGGCACAAAAAGGAGGCTGAGAGGAAAAACCTCCTGACTTCTTGTATGACCAGCGGATGCCTCTTGGTCTTGTGTTTAAAAATTGTCACCATTTTGCACTTTCTCAGTGGAGGTTGCTCAGAAAAACAGGGAGGGAAGGGCTGCCCCATTTGCAAAATGAGTGGCTTGAGCAAACAGTGCTGTGTCTCGTGCAGTCGGGCGCTGTCACCTCTATCACTGCAGAAGTCCTGGTTGCCAGGTGAAGGAAGTGTGGAAGTCACAGCACTCTGTGTACGTGCCTCACATGCTTTGTTCTTCTCCCCCTGAATTTGCTGGGCTGTTGGAGGAGCCGTTTTTCAGCGTTTTCCTGCCCTCTGAGGCCGTGCAGGAGGTAAATTCATTTTCACATGCACCGCAGGGACACGCGGCTCTTCAATCTGTTAATAAGCAGTTTTCTTTCTCAGTCACTTTATATGCTGCTCAAAGAGATGTAAATCTAAACAAATACCAGTAATTAGTGGATGCGCTTAACAAAGCTGAATTGGATTCCATGACCCAGTTGAGCAACAGACCCTCTGACAGAAGAGCCACCACCTGCCTGAGAGGAATCTGTCAAACTCCTCTAATTTTTTTGATATTTATTCATTAGGGTGATGAGCAGTGACAGAGAACTGCCATCTGCCTAACCTGGATCACTGCTATCCATCAGTTTTTGGGGACAGGTCTTTCTCCATGTCTTATTTCCTTGTCCTTTTACCTGTGGAACTGCAAGGACCTCTCAGTATAGTCCTGCTCTGCACTGGGGGAAATGTTAATTAGGGCATGATAATGAGAATAGAATAGAATAGAATAGAATAGAATAGGACAACCATCATGTAGTCCAGCTGGACCGATGGAGGACATCAACTGGTGAAGGTCATCAACTGAAGCTGTGGGAAGTGGTAGAGTCACCATCCCTGGAAATGTTCAAAAACTGAGCAGATGTGGCTCTTGGGGACCTTAGGGATGTGCAGTCACAGGCTGGACTTGATCTTGGAGACCTTTTCCAACTTTAATGATTCTGTGATGGTGGAAAGTTTTGTTCTACTCCCAGCTCTGCTGCATGAGTAGAAGGAAACTCTTTGTTTCTATTAGCAATGAAATGACAAAGAAACTCAGGTTATTCACCTTAGAGGACAGCAGGTTCTGTGCTCCTGGGGTGCAGGGGTGAGCAGGCCGTGTTTGCTGTTGCTCAGGGCTGGGTGTGAGGGAGTGAAGAGTTTGACTTGCCCTTGTTGTTAACGTGGGGTGGGCATGGTGTCTGTGCTTCTCCCCAGTACGGTGACTACGATCCCAATGTCCACAAGAGAGGCTTCCTGGCACAGGAGGAATTGCTTCCCAAGCGGGTAAGGAGCTCAGCAGTGGGGGGAGTCGGTGTTCAAGCTGTCCTGAGGCTGGACATGCTGCTGGACCTGTTCTGGTGTTTCTGGCTTTCTTGCTGAGCCAGGAGCAGCACTGTAACCTGGTCTCTGTCTCCCACCTATCCCAGGTAATAAATCTGTACCAAATGACTCCAGAGATGTGGGAGGAAAGGATAACAGCCTGGTATGCAGAGCACCGGGGCAGAGCGAGGTGAGCTTGTGCTGCTGGGCTGGGTCAGGGCCAGTCTCCTCCCCTGCAGAGTCACCAGGCTTTGGGAAGCTTGGGCGGGCGCTGGATGAGCTCTGCCAGCAGGTTAATCTCAGCACATCTCTGCAGCAGCCTCGGGAAGAGCTCAAAGCTTTTGTTGATGGCTCTGCTTGTGCCTTGCTGTCCCCCAGTCACTGTCGGGGCCTCCAAGAGAATTTAGGAGTGATGCAAAGTAAGGATTCACCTGCATCAGGGACCTGGGAGAATAAATAGGTATTCAAACTATATGGCTGCCTCAGGTGGCAAAATGCTCCTTTTGTGGAATAAACCTAAAGCCATGGATCTGAAACAGTGGCATCCCAGCCAGGGATTTCCTATTTATGCTGAAGGGATTGGGAGGTGAACAAAGCCAGGCCTGGAGTGCTGCATCTCAGCAGCCACTCAGATGCTGGCAGCTGCAGAGTGAGATTTGCTCTTGGACTTTATTGATCCTGCCAGCAAAGACAGGATTGACCTGTGTGATAGAGACAGTCCAAGCTTTAAAGCCTGGTGAGTGCTTAGGATCAGCAGGAGCAGCCATGTCCCTCTCTGATCCTCCCAAACACTGTTCCTGCCTGACAGAGATGAAGCTGAAATGGAGTATCTGAAGATAGCCCAGGACCTGGAAATGTACGGCGTGAACTACTTTGCCATCAGGGTGAGTTGGGTGGGTTGGGGGTCCTGTTTTCCTGCCAGGGTAATCTCCATGTCCTGGAGAGCCAAGAGAGTTGGGAGGTGGCATTTGGGGACGCAATCTGTGCTGAGGGGAAGCTCCTGGTGCCCAGTGCTTGGGGCTGGCTGAGGGGGAACAGTGGGTTCACATCTGACCCTCCCAGTGATTTCTGCTCTTTCCTTTCCTCCTGCAGAATAAAAAGGGCACAGAGCTGCTCCTTGGAGTTGATGCCTTGGGTCTTCACATTTATGACCCAGACAACAGGTTGACCCCTAAAATCTCCTTCCCATGGAATGAGATCCGGAATATCTCCTACAGTGATAAAGAGGTATGGATGTGTCCCAACTCCTCCCAGAGAGCAGTAAGAACACAACTGGGATTTAAAATTATTTCTCTTGGCTTCTCTATCTGCTGTGCTTGCTCTCACCAGCTTAGCTAAGGGCAGCTCAACTCCTCCAGCTGAAACCTTAATCCAAGCCTTCCTGAAACTCTGCAGGAGTGGGCGTGCAAGGGGTCACTGGGGAGCTGGTTCTCCTCTTTGGTTTCAAACCTTCTATGTAATAATCTTTTCAAAAACCCAAAATTGCTGTTGATGTTCTTAGCCCAAATACCAGAGTTCAGAAGTTAAAATCTCTTCTTTACTGCATATATTACGGTATTTATTACTGTGGATATATTCTGTATTATGGAATACAGGGAGATGTATTCCTGGGGAGGAGAGCTCTTGCCATCTCATTACATCGTCTTGGGTGTCAGGCTGCTGGGCTTGGCATAAGCAGCTGGAATCTTTTTAGGAAGTTGAGCAATTTAAGGGCGCTGTTGGATAGTTATTTATTAAGTCCAGAGTCTAAATATGGGTCTTTTGGATTGTTGGCCCTCAAACCTAATTGAGAACAGAAGTGCAATTGGCTGAGGAGGGCGGACTGAGCAGCTCCATTTTAAGTCTGAGAGAGCAGCTCAAAGAAACCAGCTGCCTTCATGGTAAGGAAGAGAATTAACTTCTTAATTAAAAATGGTTTTCTAATCTAAACATGATATTGATCAGGGGAGCAGCTAAAGGTTTCTCATCAGCTGCGTTTATTGCATGTCTTGTGAAGTTTTATAAGCAGTAAATCCTTGCTGGAATTGTCTCCACTTGCTTTACTCCTTAAAGAGCTTCACGACTCTGCAAAAAGTCCAGCACTGAGTGACTTCCCTGCCTGTTACAGCGCAGTGGGAGCTCCCCAGAATCCAGGGATTGACCCCTTCATAAACAGGCCTTGCCACAGGACTGTAGCAGAGCTCTCTCCAGGGGAAGGACGGATCATCTGTGAAATCAGAGCAGGCCTGACCTGATGCACACAGGGCCAATAGCTGGGAACAGCAGCTCTGCTGACACCACACTGGGGGTTATCCCTCCTAACAAAGATTGACTGTTCACATGGAGCTGAAACTCCTCTCCCAGCACATTCCTGCTGCTGCTCCCAGTGACTGCTGGGGGCCCTGCTGGAGCCTGAATCCAGGGATGTTCGTGCACGTCTGCTTCTGTGAGAGTTTTAAAAGACTGGCTCTTAAACTGCCGGAGCAAGGCAGTGCCAGGGCAGCGCCCTTTGAGGCAGGGCCGTGTATTGACAGATCTCCCACTCTAATGGACACACTCTGTCTGCTCCAGCTCCTCAGCCCGTTATTTCTGTAGCGTGTGGGGGAGTGATGGAATATGTGCATGTCTCCTAAAAAATGCCATCTTGCAGAGCACTCCATCTCTTCAAGTACCCTTCTGATAGTGTAGAGGCTTCTCTCCATCCAAGGGCTGCATTACCAAAGCCCTTGAGGGATTTGTGCCACCACTGGCCTCTCAAGAGAGCGTCTGTGGGAGAGCTTTGGAGAGGGTGAAGCCAGGCCATGGGTAGAGCTGGCTGGTTGGCACATGGACTGTAAATGTAACTTACAGCCAGGGAATAACAATTTGAATTGTGGGGAAATCATAGGACATGGCTGAGTTCTGGAGAAGAAAATGCATGGAAAATACTTCTGGGGAGCTCTTGTGAGTGGAGGTGTTGGTGGGAAGGGCAGCAGCTCCTTGCTGTGTTCCTGATGCAGCTCTCCTGCCCTTTTAACTCCCTGACAGGAAAGTGCAGCCACCTGGGAGTCAGGCTCTTCTCCCAGGTAACAAGTGATAGGATGAGATGAAGCAGCTTTGAGTTGTACCAGGAAAGGTGTAAGTTGGGTATTAGGGAAAATTTCTTCATCAAAGGGCTGTCAAACCCTGTCCCAGACTGCCAAGTAAAGTGTTCAGAACACACGTGGATGTGGCACCTGGGGACATGGTTTGAGGGTGAATATGATGCTGTTGGGTTGACACTTGAATTTTAGGATCTTGGAGGGCTTTTTCAACCTTAATGATTCTGTGGCTCCCATCAGGCAGCTGAGCTGGTTCTTCCTCCCTTTGGAAGCATCCTGAGTTCCTGCTGTGGATTCTGTGCTCCCTGCAGCTCCCAGGAGAGCAGCACCTTGCCTGGGGAGGTGCTGAGCTGAACCCCCAGCCCTGCAGGGTTCTCTGCAGAGGACACCAGCTCATGTGGCCCCCATGTTTTCCTGACAGGAGGAACAGTTGTCTCCTTGGCTGCTTTTGATGCAAGTCCTCTTGCTTGGCTCAGAGCCACGGGGACGGCTCTGAGCCGTGTGTCTGACCCTGCTGACCTGCTCTGAGCCAGAGCTTTCAGGAAGAATTTTATAGCTGCCTTTTTTATTAAATGCACCACCCTCTGATAACTCTTTCCCTCTTTATTTTTTTCTTTTCAGTTTACGATTAAGCCATTGGACAAAAAGATTGATGTTTTTAAATTCAATTCATCAAAGCTGCGTGTGAATAAGCTGGTAAGTGCACAAACAGTCTTTTTCTACTGCCTGCAGCAGTGGGTTCTGCAGAGAGTGTGAGACAAGGAGCTTTTGGGGCTTTTCCTTTGAGAGGGAGCTGCTGCTGTGTGGCTGTGATGGGGTGTAGCAGTTACTGCTCACTGAAGGAGGGAAGGGGGAGACTCAAGGTAAGCTGCTCCACAGAACCTCTCCCCCTCCCCTGTTTTTGTGCTCCCTTTTGCAGCTCTTGGCTTTCAGCTGACCTAAATAGTGGAAGCAGTTAGTAAATACAACTCCCAGCTTTGCTCAGTTCCTCTTTCTTCCCATGTGGATCTTTCCCATTCTGCCCTGTGTCATAGCTTTCCCTGCTTTGGGAGGCACAGTCCTGGCTTTTGCCCCTCTGAGGACACTCTCCTTGGACACGGATGGGCTGCATTGAGCTGACCATGTTGGAGACCAGCTTTAGCTGATGGTCTGGATTTGGATCCTTTGTTAGGTCACACAGGTACCTTTGCTGTCCTGGTTATTGGCTGTGCTTCATATTCCACAGGAAATGGGGCTACCTCATTCTCTGCATCTTCAGGTTCATAGTGCTGAAATCTTCAGAGAAGTCATTTGTGTCTTGGGCTGTGGCTGCCCCATCCCTGGAAGTGTTCCAGGCCATGTTGGACAGGGCTTGGAGCAGCATGGGACAATAGAAGATGTTTCTGCCTATGGCAGGTGGTGGCAGTGGATAATTTTAAAGGTCTCTTCCAACTCCAACCATTCCATGATTCTTGTGATTTTATAAAATGGAAGAAGAGCATGTAAATCAGTTCTTTAGAAAAGAATCCAAATTTAGAACCCTGATTTTATTGCTAAAAAAATCTTTTCACTCCTCTGTGTGCCCACCTTGTGCTAACCCTCCTCTAGCACTGCCACCTCCCTGGTCCTTACCAGAGAAAGAACCACACTGTGGCTCAAATCCCTTCAGCAAAGGAATCTGGAGATGCCCAAGCAAGTTTTTGATAAGCCTTCTGTTTGTCCAAATGGAAAGTGTTTTTCCTTTTTTTTTAATTTATTTTTTAATCTCAGTGCCTTAAATGTACACTTGGGAGAAGGTGCAAGTTCATCTTGAGCCTAAAGAAAGGGAGGAGTGAGAACCAGGGAACCAGGCAGAGCTGTAGAAATTTTTATTTCATTATTTGGCCTCTTTCCTTTTTAGAGTGGGTGTAAAACAACACCCGTGCTGTGCTGGAGGCACAGAAAATTGGTGTCTGCAAAGAGCTGCTATACCCAGGAGCTGGTGTTTGGTGTGGGACCTGGCTCCCTGCCCCTCCTACAGCTGTGAGAGCTCGCAGGGATGGAGCTCAGTGGGTGGAAGCACTAACAAGCACCAAATCAAAGCAATTCTAGTGGTTTTGTGTGTCAAGAATACAAACCACCTCATTGCCATCACGCATACAGCTGTTCCTCTCTGCTCTTCACCCCTGGCTGCAACAGATTCTTCAGCTGTGCATTGGGAACCACGACCTCTTCATGAGGAGGAGGAAGGCAGACTCGCTGGAGGTGCAGCAGATGAAAGCACAGGCCAGGGAGGAAAAGGCCAGGAAGCAGGTGAGCCAAAATCAGAAATGCAGACGGGCTTGGGAAGGACAAATCTCTGGAATGACTTCAAAGCAGCTTTGAGGGAAGGTCCAGCTGAACATTTTTTAGTAGCCTGCTCCCAGTTCTCCAGTCATCTCAGCTTGGCTCTGCAGGTTGGTGGCAGCCTGAGTCCAGCCCCCAATTTGGGAACAAAACTGAGAGGATAGGAGGGAAAAGCTGTCCTGGGTGTCTACAAGTGCATGGCAGGCCATGTGTTGGGACAGTTGATAGATCAGGGGCTGTGAGGGGGAGCTGTGCTCTGCTGTAGCTCTTTGGCTCGTTTCTAATTGCAGGGTGATGGAATGCACGCCGACATTCCGGGCTGTGCAGCCTGGAATGCTGATGCCATGCTGGCCTCTCTCCGTGCCTGGGTCAGCCCGGCCGGCACGGCGCAGGCAGCAGCGTGGAGCCCACGAGCAGAGATCAGCAAATTGAATTGTATGAATCATTGTTTTCTGCTCGTAGACCTTTTCTACTCACTGAAACCCACACAGCTAATCTGAGCACTGGTGCTCGGAATATAAATGGCCCTTTGGCAGGGAAGCCACTAGAGAGGAGTAGGAGAAGCCAGAGCAGTTGCTGCACCCAGCAGGGGTTTGTGCTCATGGATCTGGGTGTTACTGGGTTTGAGCAGGGCCACAGAGGTGCTTGTGTGGGATGGAGGTGCTCAGCTGGCCTGGAAATGTCCTTCAGGCACCTCTCTCAATCCTTGTGTGGGATGGAGGTGCTCAGCTGGCCTGGAAATGGGACATGGCTTGTTCTTCAGGCACCTCTCTCAATCTTTGTGTGGAGCTGGACTGGGACATGGCTTGTTCTTCAGGCACCTCTTGGTGTTTGTGTGGTGCTGAGGTGCTCAGCCAGCCTGGAAATGGGATGTGTCTTGTCCTTCCTGTACCTTCTTAGGTGCTTGTGTGGTGCAGAGGTGCTCAGCTGGGCTGGAGGTGGGATGTGACTTGTCCTTCAGGCACCTCCTGAGGCAGTTTTCCTTCATGTAGCTCGTGGAGTGGCAGGAGAGGTCTGGGCTTGAGTCTCTACAAGCTCCACTGGGGAAGAGGGACTTCCCACAGGGATTCCTCTGGTTAGTAAGGAGTTGGCACTATAGAACCATTGAGGTTGGAAAAGCACTCTGAGGCCTCCAACCACCAACCCTTCACCACTGCTTCACCTCAGTGGAGCAGAAGATCCTTGGAAGGAGCAGCGTGGTGTCCAAGTGCTGACAGCCTCAGGGATGGGTGGTCAGGCATTGGAATGGGCTGCCTAGGGAAGTGGTGAAGTCACCATCCCCAGAAGAGTTCAGAAGTGGATATGGCACTCAAGGATATGGTTTTGTGGAGTGCACATTGGTGCTGGGATAATGGTTGGGCTTGGGCGTAGAGGGCTTTGCCAACCTGGACAATTCCACAAATCTTTGAGTTTTATGATCTGTGAGGTTTTGATGTGTTTGGATAACACCACACCCAAGATCTTGTGCTTATTTGGGCTGCTGGAAGAGGTGAGGGCTCTGGGAGGGAGCAGCAGCTTATGGTTTTACCTGAGCTCTCAAATCCAGAGCACTTGGGCTCCATGGGAAAGGTCAGGCTCCTGTGTGGGCTGGCTGCCCTGTCCTGAGTGAGCCACTGTGCTGTCTGCCCTGCTCCCTCAGCATCCACAGTCGTTAACTGGTTTCAAATTGTCCTTTTAGATCAGGAATTCTTGTTAATGGGAGTCCTGAGCGGGATGCAGATCATAATGATAATTAATGAGGGGAACCTTTAATGGAAGGAAGCAGAACGGTTGGAACAGTGGGCGTCCCGCTTTCAGAGCACAGCTGGTGTCCAAGGAGTAGAGAAATGTGGCTTGTCTCACTTCCTTCCCTTATTAAACCCAGCAGGTCTCCTGTCCTGGCTGCAGCGTGGATATTTATAATGCCCCATCCCTGTGGGACTGGAGGGATTAAACTCAGTGTGTTAATTAGCCCAGTGGCTCCCTTGGGCTCTTGGCTAGTGAAGAGGCAGTCCCTGGGCACAACAATGCTCCCAGCATCTTCTGGGGAGAGCTGGCAGGTCCTGGTGGCTTGGATGTTCTCTTTCTGGAGAAGTACTGCTACACCCTGTGAATGGAGAGGGTTTGCTTTATTCAGGAATTGTCAGAGATGGTTGCACTCTGTGTCACCTCCCTCTGATCAAATGGAAGTGAAGGTACCAGGATGCTGGGTTGGATATCTGATCAAAAGGAGCATCTATCCTTGTCCTTCAGCCTCCTGCCATGTGCTTCAGTGTTTGGGAGATGCCCTCAGACTGTCCTTAAGCCCAGTCCTCCTGTAAGAAACTCCAGAGAGTTAAGCTGGAGATCTTGAGACCCAGTTGTCCTGGTCTGCCCTGTGACTAAGCCTAGGAGGGCACTATCTGGGGACATTGTCACCTGCAGGCAGCTCCTGTGGCCATGCTGTGAGTGACAGCCTGAGCAGAGGATGGGAATTGTCTCAGGACTGGCACTTTTCAAGGGAGCATCAAAGAGGCTGCCCAGGGCAACCTGGAAGGGTTAAAAGAATGTGTGGATGTGGCACTTGGGAACATGGGTTAGGGATGGCCTTGGCTGTGCTGGGGGAACAGTTGGACTTGATGATCTTGGAGGTCTTTTCCAACCTTAAGAGATCCCATGATTCTGTTCTTTGATCAGACCCCAGTCCATGGACGTTCCCATTGTCACTAAGCACAGAGGAGACAGCAGTGCTTTGACCTCACCTGTGCCTCTTTCTCACCCATGGAGAACCTTCCTCACGTGTGTTTTTCTCCTTGCTTTCCCCAATCCCTTTTTCCCAGATGGAACGACAGTGCTTGGCACGAGAGAAGCAAATGAGAGAAGAGGCTGAGAGGACCAGAGATGAGCTGGAGAGGAGGCTGATGCAGCTGAAGGAGGAGGCAACCATGGCCAACGAGGCTCTGGTAGGTCCCTGGGAGGCCATTTCCTGAGCACTGCAGCTGCTCCTCACTCTTTCCACTGCAGAAGCATTTTTGGAAGCGCTCTATGACTGCCCTAGGACTGCTCCCAAACTGCTGCCAGTGGCCAGTGAGCAGCAGGCTGGATGGAGCTATTTCATCCTGCAGGGCTGCTTGGGAGGAGCACAGAGAGGATGATTTGGGACAGAGCCTGGGCACATCCCAGCCTTGGCGGCAGACGGCTGCAGGTCTTCACGGGAGGGAGGGATTCTATGGAGCGTGTCGGAGCGAGCAGCTCGGGGCCCTGCTCCAGGGGCTGTGGGCACATTTGGGGAGACATTGGCTGTCCTTAATGGCTTCATGTCCCGGAATTGTCAGATGAGGTCGGAGGAGACGGCGGATTTGCTGGCGGAGAAGGCGCAGATCACGGAGGAGGAGGCCAAGCTCCTGGCTCAGAAGGCGGCCGAGGCCGAGCAGGAGATGCAGCGCATCAAGGCCACGGCCATCCGGACTGAGGAGGAGAAGAGGCTGATGGAGCAGAAGGTGCTGGAGGCAGAGATGTTGGCACTGAAAATGGCCGAGGAGTCGGAGAGGAGGTCAGAGGGTACAACCTTGCAGCTGCTTTTGCTTTGCTTCCCACCCCCTTCAAGTTATCCCTCTGAGTTATCCTCCCTCAGCTTCCCACGTGTGTCCAACAGCAAATGGCCCTTTGGCCCAGATGGTTTCCCTCTCCAAAAGCCAGCTCTGCTTTTGGGTGCTTTCTGCAGCCCTCCTCTGCATTCCCCGAAGTATTTAACAACATTAATAACATTTGGGGGTTGTTCTTCCTCTGAATGGTAGTTCTACCTTCCCTATTCTCTCCTTACTCCTATACTTATCTCTCAGTTGTTCAGTTCTCCTTTCCAGCCATGAGTTCTGTTCCAGATTAGCCTTGACCAGAGACTTTGCTCCTTGTTAAAACTGGTGTTTCCATCCTCCTGATACCCAAGCCCAGGTCCCCCAGTGAATGTGGCAGTGAGCAAGTAAAAGATGAGCCTTGTTTCTTTCCAGCTGATTACTCCTCTCTGTGTGAGAGCCTGCTGGGTGTCAGCCCTTCTGCTTGGATGAGCTCAGCCCTTCTCTGTCTCTTCTTGCCAATTCCACACTGTGATCCTGCTTCTCCATCCTCTCGTTCCCTCTGGCTCCAGTCTGATATTTGCTGTTTGCTGTTGGTCTTTGCAGGGCAAAGGAGGCTGATCAGCTCAAGCAGGACCTGCAGGAGGCTCGCGAGTCGGAGCGCAGAGCAAAGCAGAAGCTCTTGGAGATCACTAGCAAGTCTTCCTACACAGTAAGAGAGATCTGTGTTGTAATTCCCAGTTCCCTGAACTCCTGTGTAGCCTGGAGGAGCCTTCTCCATCCCAACCATGGAGGGGGCTGAACTGTGTCTTTGCTGCTCAGAAATCCTGAGCAGTGCTTGCCCTTTTCATCCCTGCATCTCATCCAGCAGAACTTCACTATGCTCTTTTTTTTTTTTTCCACCCACCTCTTGCTACGAGAGCAAAGGAGCTGCTGGTGAAATTAAAGCAGCAAATTTTAAACCAATTTAGCAGCAATGTCAGAGCCACTTTGCCAGCACGTGTGGAGTGCACCAGCTTAGCAATAACCTTTAAAATAGGGTTAAGTATGTCCTTGTTAGGTGGGATAAACACTGTTCAGAACCTGTAAATTCATTCTTTGGGCATAAAGTGGACCTTCATGTGCTGGAAAAAAACTTACTTGAAGGGAGATTATTCCATAATTGTCCATTAAGAGGATTTCACACCTTCCTCTGAAGCATCTGGTCCTGATTCGTGCCGGGCACTGAAAAGCCAGACTAGATGACCATGGCTCTGACTTGTCTGGCAGTTCTGTTCCTCTGCTTCCCTAATTGTGCCTGCAAAGCCCATCAGGTGCCTCCAGCCCTGCAGCTCACACCTGTTCCTTCCTGGCCTGGGGGAAGGGGAAGAGCATCAGGAATGGGCTTGACGTGGGAGTTACAGACAGGCCAGCACTGAGGTTTGAATTTGTACCTGCAGGCTCCTTCCCCCTTTGTCTGGAAACTTTATAGGAGCAGATTGGAGAGGGGTTGAGATGAAGCAACTTTTCATCCCGATTCCCTGGAGTTCACTGCAAGAGTATTTGGAAGCTGTTAAAAATAACAGTGATGGAAAATAATCAGGTGCTCTCGGCTCTGGGACACTTAGTCAAGTGAGTGCTGGATAAAGCCCAGCTTTGGAATGCTCCTTCTTGTACAAGTCACTAGAATTCTGGGATGCACCAGCTCCTTAATTCTGGCTTTAACTTGAGCACAGGGAGATACTTGTCCTCATTGGAATTGTGCTGCGTGGCTACACCAGCCGGTGTGGAATTTGGGCAGCTCTTCCACGCCATGTTCCCTAGTGTTGCCATGTCCATCCTTAGTGAAACCAACAGAGCCCCAGCTCAAAGCCCTTGTGCTGAAATCTCTGTGCAGGGGAGCAGCTGGGTGGTTCAGCTCTGTGTTCCTGTGGAATTAGAGCCTCATTAGGGGAATGTTGTGGGATTGCATGGAGCTCAGCTCCACCCCTCCAGCTGCATCTGCCTGGAGGCAGAGCTGCCACTTCCAGACACATAGGGCTGTGTCCTTTGCCTTCCCTAAAGAGCCCTGGCCTTCCAGACATGGCTGTCAGTGCCTGCTGGGGAGGGAAATGCTTTTTTATTCCCCATTTCAGTGGCAGGGTCCCCTCATGCAGCTGCTGCTCCTCTTGCCCCTCTCCCTGCCCCGGGATGAGGGATGTGCTGCACAGATTCTGTGGCTGTTATTTCCAAGGTCAGGAGGAGGCTGGTGCCCAGCATGTCCATATCCAGGTGAAAACACCTTGCTGGGCTCTTCCATCCTCCGTTACACTTCCCTGGATTGCCAGCACTTGGAGGGACCGGTTTTAAAAGCTGTTTCTGGGACACTTGAGTTCCTCAGCTCTGATGAACGGTGCAGGATTCCAACTTTTCTCTTCCTGAACGAGGGTTTAACATTGGGCTTGTTCATTTCCATGGTCCCAGACTTGGGGTGTGGTGTCCCCTGACACTGGGAACTCAGCAGGACTTCACAAGAGCAAAAGAGGAAGGAGGGAGTGGATGGATGTAGAATCATTTAGGTTGGAAAGGACCCTACAGAGATGGAGTCCAATCCCTGACCTAACTCTGTGCTGCAGAAAAGGCAAAATAAACAGTTAAATATATATATTTTTCAACTTTCCAGTCTCCAATCCTGGTTCTTTAAAGCTTGTTTCAGTGTCTTTTTAGTCCTTGAAGCCCAGGCTGCTTTTATGATGTCACTGGTAGGTGATGCATGAGAAGTGAGATGTGGATTTGAGATTCAGGCCATCAGGGCTTGGAGAACAACTCATTCCTTATGGACTTGGTCACAAATCTTTGCCTCCCTCAGTGCCCTTCAGGTGCCAGCTAAAGGCAATCACCTCCTCTCTGATCCTGTGGGAGCTGCAAGTGGCTGGTTTGGGCTTGCCCAAATTCCTGAGCAGCAAAATAAAGGCAGTGGCAGCACCAGGAGGAGCTTTCCCTGCAGGGGAACCCTCCTGACCTGCTCTGTGCTCACTCTGGATGCTCTATGTCGCTCTGTATTCCAGAGGGATCCAAGGGATGGCCGCTGCTGGCGTGGTGCTTGCCTCTTAACGGCAGGAAATTGCTGTAAGCAGGAACAGGGCTCTGCAGTTTGTTCCAGGTCAGGGAACACATATGGAAAAAGCTCCCTGTCCTTTTTATCATCCCATGGCCCTGGATTAGAAATAACAGCACCTGCTGAAAGAGCTGCCCAGGATTGTTGCTAATGGCAGGGAATCTACAACAGGAATTCTGTCCCTCTGCCCTGCTCAGGTGAGACCCCACCTGCAGAGCTGCCTCCAGATCCGAGGGTCCAGCACAGGAGGGACCTGGAGCTGCTGGAGCCAGTCCAGATGAGGCACCTGAGCTGCTCCAAGGGCTGGAGCCCCTCTGCTCTGGAGCCAGGCTGGGAGAGCTGGGGGTGCTCACCTGGAGAGGAGAAGCTCCAGGGAGAGCTCAGAGCCCTGCCAGGGCCTAAAGGGGCTCCAGGAGAGCTGGAGAGGGACTGGGGACAAGGGATGGAGGGACAGGACACAGGGAATGGCTCCCAGTGCCAGAGGCAGGGATGGATGGGATATTGGGAATTGGGAATTGTTCCCTGGCACAGGTGCCCAGAGCAGCTGTGGCTGCCCCTGGATCCCTGGCAGTGCCCAAGGTCAGGTTGGATGGGACTTGGAACAGCCTGGGACAGTGGAAGTATCCCTGCCCATGGCAGGGGGTGGAACAGGATGAACTTTAAAGTCCATTCACCCCCAAACCATTCCATGATTCTGTTAAATGCTTTGCTCCAGATATCAATCCCATGCCTTTGAGAGCCCTGAACCTGCTCACTCTGCTTTTTCCATACTCCTCACTCCTGCTGCTCTCTGAGTTCTCCAATTTTTTTCCTTGCTCCACAGCAGAGCAGTGCTGAGGAAAGAGAAGGAAGTAGTGGCTGTAGCAACCCTGATGAATTGGCTCAGACCTTAATGGCTGCAGCAACTGAAATTCCTGCTCAACTGTTACTGCTGCTGTTGGGAATTTTTAAAAACAAAACCCAACAAAGCTTGTACTGAAAAAAAAAAAAACAAGCTAAAGGTTGTTTGAAGGCCAGCGGGCTGGCTCGGATGCTCTTGGCTCCCCTGTGCTGCAGGGACAGGAGAACCTCACGTGGGGAGGACTTTGGGAACGCCTGTGTGCCTTACAGGGAAGGGACTTGAATGTCAATGGGATGCAAGTATTTAAATCAGTTAAGTGCTTTGGCAGACCTGTCCCCTTTCCTTCGAGACTGGAATTTAGGTACTGAGCTGTCCCTTCCAGCGCCTGCTCCAGAATTAATGTGGCTTTGTTCCGTGCTGGCAGCAGAGATGGAGGAAGGAATTGGGTTTCCTTGTCATGTGGGCCTTAACTCACCTGGAAGGCTCCAGCCAGGCCAAGTGCAGTTTGAGGCACCTCCTTGTTTATGCTTGTATGAGGTGTTTGTGTTCCAGCTTTGGGTCGATGAAATGTTGTTCCTCTCAGATTTGTCCGAGCTGGGAACGAGCCCTGGCTGTTTGTGAATTCCAGGCTGGTGGTGAGGGAAGAGGCAGGTTATTGTGCAGAGTAAATCTGTCACCCCAGTGCTTGCAGGCCTTGCTGAAGAGGAGCTAACTGAAAACAGTGCTTGGAGTATCCCAAATAAGAGAAATGAGGGAAAGAAAGCCATTGGAAGCTCAAACTCTCATTTGTTAGAGCAGGCACTCAGCAGTGCCATTGCAGGTTTGGACACGTTGTTTTCCTTACAGGAATCCCTTAAAGCAAGAAGGAGCATCCAGGAGGGAGGTGGGGGATCTTTGGGATGCTGGGCTGGACTTCCCATACCCCAGAGCAGGGCTGAGCAGGCTGGCAGCAGTTGTGACTCAGCCCCAGCTGATGCTGCTGTGCCACCCTTGACATGTGCCCTGCTTGCCACCTCATCCAGCGTGCTGCAGGAGCAGAGCCATGACTCCAACAGGATTTTTCTCTTCTCCTAATGAGCCCATTTGTTAGAGGTGTGACAGAATTTTTGACTGAGAGGAAGGGTCATTTTTTAGGAGAAGATAAAACCTGAGGGCCTGGCATTGTGTGTCACTGGGGAATAGCAAAGCATTTTGCAGGAAGAAGAAAGTCCCAAATCCTTGCTCAGGTGTTCCAGGAGTGATTTACTGTGTTATCTCAATTTTCAGCTGAATCTAGAAGTGGTTTTTAAACCTTTGGAGCTGTAAATTACTGAGGAGATAAAAATGTGTTGGTGCATCTCCATGGACCTTGCTGGAATGGCATCCTTGGGGTCACATTGGTCTTTGCTCAGGCTTTGGGGAGCTGTGGAGTGCAGGACTCTGCTTTCACACAGGATCTTGTATTGTCCCTGCTCGCAGCTTGAACTTTATAAGCCTGATTGAATGTTAAATATCAGACAGATGACTCCCAAGAGGCAGCTTAAAGTGACACAGCAGTGATAAAGCCTTGATTTTACCAAGTTTTGTCAATAGATTTTGAAGGCAGGTGGTGTTTTATCTCCTCTTTTAGGACTCCAAAGAATCCTGGAGGAGCAATGGCTTTGAATTGAGGAGCAGATTGGGAATGGTGCAAGGGGATGTCCAGGCTGATCTTGTGCTCAGGATCTGGGCTCACATGTTGCTCTGATTTTACGTCGGCGTTGCAGAACATTGGCTGTAGTGACACTTGTGTGGCCCAGAGTGATTAACTTGTGCTCTCTCTTCAGCAGTCCATGAACTCGAGTACCACAGCACTGCCCACTGACCTGCCAAGCTACAACCTCATCAGTGAGAGCCTCTCCTTCGACTTCAAGGATACAGACATGAAGAGGCTGTCCATGGAAATCGAGAAGGAGAAGTATGTGGCATGCATCCAGTCTGGGCTGGGCTGGGATTTGTGCTGAACTTGAGCCAGGTGTGGCCAGGAAGGTCAAGGGCACCTGGGCTGTGCCAGCCCTGGGGTGGCAGCAGGAGCAGGGCAGTGCCCGTCCCCTGAGCTGGCACTGCTGGGGCACCTCCAGAGCTGGGGCAGCGCTGGGAGCCTCCTGCCAGGAGAGACCTGGAGGGGCTGGAGCGTGTCCAGGGCAGGGAACGGAGCTGGGAAGGGGCTGGGCCCCAGGAGAGGCTGAGGGAGCTGGGAAGGGGCTGGAGCCCCAGGAGAGGCTGAGGGAGCTGGGAAGGGGCTCAGCCTGGAGAAAAGGAGGCTCAGGGGGGACCTTGTGGCTCTGCACAGCTCCTGACAGGAGGGGACAGCCGGGTGGTTGGGCTCTGCTCCAGGGAACAGGGACAGGAGGAGAGGGAACGGCCTCAGGCTGGGCCAAGGCAGGCTCAGGGTGGATTTTGGGAACATTTCTTCTTGGAAAGAGCTGTTCAGCCCTGGGACAGCTGCCCAGGACAGTGCTGGAGTCCCATCCCTGGAAGGATGTAAAGGCCATGTGGATGTGGCACTTGCAGACGTAGGGCCTTGGCAGTGCTGGGGAATGGTTGGACTTGGTAACCTCAGAGGGCTTTTCCAACCTGAAAAATTTGGGCTTGTACTAACTGAGCCTTTCCCTGGTGTCACAGGCCTGTCCCAGCCAGCTGCTCACCTGAGGTGCCCTGCTCCAGGCAGTTCCACTCCATGTGGGAATCCTGGCTCCTGCTCAGGCTGGAATTGCCCACAGTGGTGGGAAGAGTTAAGAGCAGGCTGAGTGCTGGAGGCCTGAGCTTGAGGCTTTGCAGGTGTCCAGGGAATGTGGTGATAGCTGGGTGTGTTAAGGTCCTGCATTAGGGCTTTAACCCCTTTGCCTTGGAATTTGTTTCACGTTCCTGGATGAAAACTGTTCCCCAGCAAGTTTGGATGTGATTATGAGCTTTGATCTTGTGTTTTCCTGAGGGTGTAAGTGTAGCCTTCGAAATTACCAATTGAGCAGAAATCAAAGCAGATCAGATTTTAATCTCTGTGATAACGATGTGCTTTGTTCATCGATTGGGTCGTCGATCAAAGCCACAATGGCTCTGTCATCGGCCAAGACTTCCTGAGGCTGTAATGACACACCCTTGGATCCCAGAGGCTGCTTTGGTTTGCCTCTGCTCTGTGCCCTCTCCCGTGTATGAAAACACAGACCTAGAGACAGGAGATTAAGAACTTCTAAAAACTTTTCTCAGAGCCAGAAGGAAAAAGATAGAAGCTGAAAATAACAGGATAATTCCTGGTTCTGTACCCAGGTTGCTATCTAGGTCATCCTGCTCTCCTGAGCAGGGAGAGCTGCCTCTGCCAAATGCTGAAAGCAATAGGATGCTTTTCCTGTCTTTTCTGGGGCTGTTCTCTTTCCTGGGGTGCTGAAATAAACCTCTTTACAAATTTTGGCACTGGAAAGGGTTCCTGTTACCCTGCCGGTCCTCTGACCTGTCTCAGGGGGTTAATCACAGGTACAAAGCTCATGGGGTGATTTTTCTAGTTGATTTTTCATTGTGGAAGGCAGTTCAGGACAAGTCCTAGGAATGGCTGTTTTTTTCCCTTTCTTTCCTTTTTTTTTTTTTTTTTTTTTTTTTTTTTTTTTTTTTTTTTTTGTTTTGGGAGACTTTCTCTCTCCCAGGCATGCTCTGTATGTACAAAATACCTGATATTTTAGGGACAGCACTTGCTTCCACACAGTTTACAAGCTAAATCTTTCTAAAACATGACAAGTCAGTACATCAGGGTCCTTCCTCATGGAAAGATTTGTGGATTTGGGTTGTGGAGCAGGTTTGGGAAGGGGTGCAGGGGTGTAGAGCTCTACTGAGTAGCTGCTTAAACCACTGTGTGGTGTAAACCTCTGTCAGCTTCACTTGCAAATTGGGAGACTTAAAATACCACCCAGCTTGGGTTTAATTTTGTGTAATAATAATAATAATAATAAAACTTACACTTTTATTGCTGGGTTGGCTGTCTGGGTCCCCTTTAATAAGGAACAAATAATTGCTCTGAGTAGCTCACTGTGTGCTATAAACTGATATTATCAGTTCCACACACTAAAAATAATGAAGAAAAGCTGTTTCTGTTATAATTCTGTTATCAGGTGTCACATCAGCACGTGCAGCTGGTCAGTGCTAACCCAGGGCTGTTCTCTGTGTGTGTTAGGGTGGAGTACATGGAGAGGAGCAAGCACCTGCAGGAGCAGCTCAACGAGCTCAAGACAGAAATCGAAGCACTGAAGCTCAAGGAGAGAGAGACAGCTCTGGATATTTTGCACAATGAGAACTCCAGCCGGGGCAACAGCAAGCACAACACTATTAAAAAGGTATCAGAAGGCCCCAGTTTGTATCTCCCCTGATGAAACCCTTTAAAAAGAACCCTAAAATCACCCTGCTTTTGATAATAAAATTGTTGAATCTAGGCTTTCTTCCCCAGCTGCTTAGCTTTGATTGGAGGATTCCAGCTTCTGGTGGTCCTGGTGTCCTGACCCAGCCTGGTCTCTCCAGTGCTGTGGTGAGGGATGTCTCCAGGGCTGAAGGTCTTTCTGAACCTTAAAATCTGTCTAAGGATGTTGTTGGAAGGGCTCTGCATCCCCAGTGAACAGGAAAAGCCCTCCCTGCCTATTGCAGCTGTTCCCTACGAGCACTGAGCTTGTCTGGTGAATAATGAGGGCAGAAATACTCCTGGCTTAGGAGCTCTCAGTGGAAAAAGCCAAAAGCTCTTCTTCTCTTTTAATCTCTCTAGAGAAACCTGTAGTGCAGCTTCAGTCACTAACAGCAAAGCCTTTGCTGGCAGGGGGGATGAGACCTCTGCTCCCTAGAGCCACCCGCCTCCTGCAATGGGGCTGACATGAGGAACTTCAGCCAAAAATTGAGGCTGCCTGGGTCTGCTGACCTGGGGGTCACCTGAAAGCTCACAACAAAACCCCTTCTTTATTTTTCTGCATCCCACCTTCTTCCTTTGCCTCAGTTCTGGGCTCTGTAGCGAGGGGCTGGGGGCACATCCACAATTGATTTGGAGGTGGTGGTCAGCCCCACTCACCTGCAAAGGCTTTTTTCCCTGCAAAGGCTTTTTCCTGGCTGGCTTTCTGCTAGCAGCTGTCTTCGGGAAGGATTTGGAAATCTCTACGGCACGGGATGCAGGCCGTGGTAACAACTGCAGGCTTGGAAAACAAATTCTGCTCTCTTTACTACTCCCAGACAGAAGTTGTGTCTGAAAGGATCTGGAAATATCAGTTCTTGCTGACTTTCATGGCTGGGAGTTTGTGATCACTGAATTGGGGCAGGAAAACGAATCTAGCGGGGTTCACTTGCTAGTTTTCCTGTGCTGGCCTGGAGCTATTCAGGTTCCTGTCACACTAGAGCAGAGAAAATAAAAATCTTCACAACCCCTTTTGTCACTGTAGAATCTGGAGGCGTTTCTGCTCCCAGTAGGTTTTGGAAGGATTTGTCTTTGTGTTCCAAGTCCTTGGTTTAAACAGAAACTGCTAAGTTTTCACTTCTGACAGAGAGGAGTTCATAGAGAGCTGTTGGTCCCATTTGTCTCCCTTAAAGAGGGTGGCTGGGCCATCATTACCATGTCTGTCAGGGCTTGTCACAGTGCCTTCACTTTGCCTCCCTTTGAAGATGGAATCTTGTCCTGTCCCCTCCCTTCCAGAGGGAGTGGGGGCTGCTGCATCTCAGCACGGACCAAAGGTTCCTAAATAATAGACTATTAGTGGAGACATCAGAGGGAAATTACAGCCTGCTCTGCTCAGGGAGGTCAGCAGGGCTTTTGTCTTCGCTGTGGTGAAGGCAAGGAAACACAGGGCACTGGGAATGGGATATCAGTCCAGCAATACTTCAATGGCACCAACCCTCTGCCTCACCTGGAAGCTGCTGATTGCTCCAGGCAAGCCCTAAGATCCCAGAGATCACCTGCCCTTGTATCACACACCGGGATTATTATTATCATTTGTTGTTCATTTTATTTTGCTGGTTTAGCCTCAAGCCCAGGGCAGAAGACCAATCTGCATTTGAGAATTCCAAGTAGGTTATTCCAAGGTACTCTGCGTGGGGGTGCTGGGATCTGGCTGTGGCACTAACCCGTGCATGAGCTTGCCTGCGCTCCCACGGTCACCCGTCCGGCCCGGCTCTCCCTCCCTCAGGAGCACTCCCAGCCTCTCTGCATTTGTTCCTACACCTGATCCTCCACGCTGGGAAGCTGCTTTCTTGGCAGAAGTTGTGTTGGCAACCTCAGAGGGGGAGTTCAGGTGGAGGCACTTAAATAATTCAGCACGCCTGTTTTTGCACCTGTGGTTGAGAATCTTATCGGAGGTGCAGGGCAGCCTTTGAAGATTCCTTTAATGAAGTAAACCAGCACCTTCCCCCCTTGTTTGTTGCAGAAGGAAATTCAGGATGGATGTAGGAAAAAATACCCCAAACAAACAGCCAAACCCCCTCATCTCTGCTGCCAACACTGTTAAATCGGGCTAAAAATGCGCAGCTCCGTCTCGGAGCTGAGCAGCACGAGGCTGCTCTGCCTGTTTGAGAAGCATCCCAGGAAGGTAAAGCAGAGGATTGAGGACAGCTGGTGTCTGCAGGTGGCTCTTGTGGCAGGGGAAGGTCACCAGCACACCTGAGGACAGGAGTTGTCCTTCTCCCTGCCCTGCCTCTGCCTGTCCCTCACCTCCTCCTGCCCAAGGGTCCTGCTCTGTTAATGCCACATCTCTTATTCCTGGAGCCTGCTTTCCTCCAAGGATTTGCCCTCAATCCGCAGGCTGTATGTGCTGAACATCCACTCCCTCCTTCGGGAGGATGAGTTTGGGGAAGCTTTCCTGTTCTGCCCTGGGGTGAAGTTCTTGCACAGCCACAGGGTTTTGGGAGTTTGGAGTCAGTGGCACTCAGGGAAGTACTGGGATGCCACACTCACGGGTGGCAGAGCAGATGGGAAATGCTTTTGGAAAAGGCAGAGCAATTCCACAGAACCTCTGCAGCTCAGGAACAGAGGCAGGTTTTGCCCAGGAGAGCTCAGCACAAGGCTGTGCTGTTCTTCACTGCACCAGCCATTCCAGGGGCTCTAAATTCCTGGAGTTTGGGGTTTGTGCCAGCTGTGGGGAGCTGCAGGCGCTCCCCAAAACAGGCTGCTCTCATCATTAAACAGTTCCATGGGGAAGAGGCTAACAGAGGTGACCCTGCAGGTCTGGGCCACCTTGGGGGAGGTGCTGGGTATCTCCAGACAGACTGCCTGTGGATGAAACGCATTATCCCATCCCACCTGGCTTGAAGAGCTCCATGGCAGGTAAATTTGTGGTGAAATCCACTTGTGGCCTCAGCACAAGGAGGTGAAATGAAGTCCTAGCTGTTTGTGGGAAGACTCTTCCAGCAGCTGGGAGAGCTCCAGTGCCCAGGAGGAGCCCCCATAATTAAAGCAGCTGCACAGCGAGCGCTGCAGTGTGACCTCTGGGGTTTGGTGCCTGCCTTTGAAGGCGCCTGCTAAGTTTTTCATGTTTAATTACGTGGTTAACATGCTAATCCCTTTTTATGAGCTCTGTGGGCACAGCACAGACACCTCATCTGGAAGCTGCTCTCCCTTCTCCGTAGCTCCCTGCCGTGGGCTGGTGCTGTGGCTCCAGCTGGCTCTGATTCAGGAGGGTTTGTCACTTAGTCTGTGGTAGAGGGTGAAAAACCCACTTCTTCCTCATCTCCTCCGCTGCAGGAAAGCTCCCAGGACAGGCTGCTAAAACACAATCAGGTCTTTGATTCCAGTTGCTTTCTTCTTGCACAGTCATGCTTATTTACTGGGATTTAAGCCCTTTGAAGTACCCAGGCAAGGAGCAAATCTCCACGCCTGTTCCCAGACAAGCAGCTTTGTCGTTGAGCCTCTGGTCCTTCCGCAGGCAGCCTTAGCCTCTCCTGCCAGGCTCTCACGTGGCTGAGAGCAGCTTCTCTGTGCCTTGAGCTCAATCCCAGGGGATCACTTTTGGTGCCCATGGGGATCCTGCTGGCTGCTTTCCTGGCTCTGATCCTGGACACAGTGCAGTGTTGCCCTTGGCTTGGATAATTTTCATTGTGGAGATGCCTTGAGATCTGAGCTGGGGGTGTTCAGGCTGGAGAAGAGAAGGCTCCAGGGAGACCTTAGAGCCCCTCCCAGTGCCTAAAAGAGAGCTGGAGAGGTGCTTGGGACAAGGGATGGAGGGACAGGACACAGGGAATGGCTTCCCACTGCCAAAGGGATGGATGGGAGATTGGGAAGGAATTCCTGTCTGTGAGGGTGGGCAGGCCCTGGCACAGGGTGCCCAGAGCAGCTGTGGCTGCCCCTGGATCTCTGACAGTGCCCAAGGCGAGGCTGGGCACTGGGGCTTGGAGCAGCCTGGGATGGTGGAAGGTGTCCCTGACTGAAGCAGGGGGTGGAACAGGATGAGTTTTAAGGTCCCCTTTGGATTTAGCCAATGAACAGTTCCCAGCTGGAAGCACAGATGGGGCAGAGCCAGAGGGACATCTGCAGCCTTGTCTTCCCTCCTGCCACCTTTGGGATAGGCTGTGGTCTGTCCTTGTGAAGACACTGGTGGCTGGTGATGGCACTGCTGCCTGAGTGTCTCATCATGCAGACAGGATGTGCCACCCCCAAATGTCACGAGGCTCCTTCATCATCTGGACAGGTGGAAGGATTTTGGGAGGCTAAAGCTGGGGCAGATGCTTTCTCTATTTTCTACCTGCACTGGGAGAGCAGTGTGCTAGGAATCACTGAAATGTGTCCCTTGAGGACTTCACAATTCCTGTGGGGTCACAGTCACCTCCTGAGGACTCCCTTCCTCATCTCTCCCCTTCTTGAGCTGCAGATTCCCTGGAACAGGTCTGGTTTGCTCTGTTTGTCTGTAGTTTGTTTGGAGGAGGAGGATGTTCCCCTTCCAGAGAGAAGAGACCAGCACAAGGAATGCTCTGGGAAGGACAAAAGGAGGGAGCCTGGGTAGGACAGAGCAGGCTGAGCTGCCATCCTTCCCTGTGGATCTTGGGACAGGGACAAGGTGCTCCTCAGTCTCCTGCAGGGCTGTATAACCCAATCCCAGCTGGAATGGGAGGCAGAACGGGCACACCACCAGCAAGGGACTTCCCAGGAAGTCCCAGCACTGGCATTTCCCATTTCCTTGGGAGCTGTGAAGTTGGAAAAGATGAGTGAGGCTGCCAGCTTCTCACTCAGCCTGGCACCTGGCTGGGGTGCAGGTGGGAGCCAGGAGACACCCAGTGGGCAGAGCAGCTCTGAGAGCACATTTTCCTAGTGCAGAAGGAGACAGAGGCTCATCCCATGTGGATCTTGCCCACACACCCCCACGTGTGACAGACCACATCCCTTCCAGGTTCATTTTCTTCCTGGTTCCCCTCGGAGCTGGGAAGTGAAACTCCCAGGCAGTTAAACTGGGACACGGCAGCCTCTTTTCCTTGTTTACAAGGAGCAAGAGGAAAGTAGGAAACGTCAGGCCTATCAGCTATTTCTGTGGCAGCCTTTGAAAAGCGTTTCCTTCACATGGAGCGTCATCTTCTCCTTTCAAATGGGCTCATCAAAGCGTCGGGGGCTGGGGGACAGTTGTGCTCGGGAGAGAATAAAGACAGCGTGGGAGGGAGAGAGGAGCAGGGAGGGAAATGGGAAGAATCACAGGAAAATAGGCTTTGGGTTCAAAAGTAACACAGTGGGAATTGAGAGTTCCACCTGGCCAGTGGGACTGGGGAGTGAGCAGGGATGGAGAAAGGCACCAGGGCAGCAAGTGGGGAATAAAGAGGATTTAGTGTGTGGAGCACTGGCTGGTGATTAGCAAGGACTGTAGATCTTCCCAGCAGCAGGAAAGCATCTTGGCATCCCACAGGGTGAGGGTGGCACAGGTCCCCCTCTTTTCCAGCCCGGCCATACTGCAGGATAAACAAGGAAACAGCAAGAAAATGAGACATCTTAAACCTCTCCCTGCTGGGAGAGGTCTGGAGGCAGATTGGTGTGAGTTGCAGCCCCTTCCCCTCCCTGTTGCATGGGGATGGCCCCACTCTGGGGGCTCACTGGGTCCTTGGGGGGTTTCCCTGGCTTGGGTTTGCCCAGCCTCAGCACTGCTGTGCCTGCAGTTACTGGGTTACCTGCTCCTGTGCCTGCTGGGTTGCTCTGGTTTGTTTGTGTTTCCTAAATCAAATCAGTCCGGCAGCCCTGGGTAGCAGCAGGCTCAGAGGAGCCCCATTGCAGGAATGCAGGGAGCAGGACTCTTCCCTCTCTTCCCTTCCTGAGATCCTGATTCATTTCGAGCTCAGGCCGCTTAATTGCGCTGCCTCTCTCTCCCTCTAAATTTTCCTTGATGGCTCTGGTAGAGCATCGGGAGCCCACCCTCCCTCCTGCAGGAAGGAGATTATCATAATACTGCTTGTAAATCAATTTTTTTTTTTCTTTTCTCCGCACTGACGAGGATGTAACTCCCTCTTAATCACCCTGCACAGCGTTACGCTACGGGGAGGGATATTTATTTCTCCTCGCCTGACCAGGAGAAGGGGATGCGGAGACTGCGGAGAGATTTTGGAGGTGTTGGAGGCTTTCCCCCCAACAGACGATGGAGAGGCCAGCACAGGGTGGTGCTCTTCCCTTTGCTTTCACATCCCAGTGCAGAAAAGAAAGGAAAACCAGCTGAGGGAGTGGGATTTCCCTGCAGGGAGCTCCCTGTGCCCACCGGCTTCCACAGCCCCCAGGGCGCCCGCTGGGATGAGTCAGGAGCTCCCCCCAGCTCTTCCCATCTTCCCCCATGCATCCCTCAGGACTGGTCCCTGTGGTGCTCCCAGTGGGAGCCAGGATAGCCCTGCCTGCGCTCCACAGGGAGGCAAACAACAACAACAGAAGGAAAAAAGGGCGGGGGAGAGTTTCCCCCCTGGCAGTGGAGAGTCAGGGTGCAGTGAAGAGCTGCCCTGATTTCCTCTGGGGTGCTTCTGGAGCCTGGCTGCAGGCGGATATGAGGAGACAGCTGCCTGGAGCTGCTGGGCAGCTGCAATCCTGCTCCTGGTCTCTGGAAGGGACCTTAAAACCCGTCCAGTGCCACCCCTGCCATGGGCAGGGACACCTCCCACCGTCCCAGGCTGCTCCAAGACCCACCCAGCCTGGCCTTGGGCACTGCCAGGGATCCAGGGGCAGCCACAGCTGCTCTGGGCACCTGTGCCAGGGACTGCCCACCCTCCCAGGGAGGAATCCCTGTGGTGTTTGCCTTCCAGGTGGCAAAATCTGGCCACTGCTGGGAGCCAGTGACCCGCAGGGCACGGCTCTCTTGGGAAGTCTGTGCTCGCTCCTCTCCATGGGATGCCATCTCCTCAAGTGCCACCTTTGCTCTGACTCCTTGTATGGCTGCTCTTCCAGTGCCTCAGATTCCCTGGGTAGGTAAAATGGGTACCACTGAGCCTCTCTTGGAGCGTTTGGATGTTGTGGATAAAAGCATCCAGCAAAGGAGCAGGGCTTTCCCTTCTCCCTGTGCCTGTGCTGGATTCTATGGAGCTCTGCCTCCACCTGCTTCCCAAATCTCCAGGCTGAGGCAGGCACAGCTTTGAGCTCAGGCCACCCTCGGGGTACCCCAGGACCCCCAAAACACGTCGGGGGTTAATGGAGAGCTGTGTGGCTGCAGGCAGAGGCAGGCTTGACACAGTGTCATTCCTTGGTCAGCCTGAGGGAAACATCTTCCCTGTGCTCCATCAGCAGCTGCAGCTTTGGCAGGGTGATCCTGCAGGGAGCTCCCCTCGCTGTGCTGGGAGGGCTGGGGGGCTCTGGCTCCCCAGCCAGGCTGCAGAAGGGATGGATTTGGAGGCACAGCCTTGGGAAGGAGCTGGATGGCAGGAAGATAATGGAATCATGA